GTCTGTGTGTGTGTGTGTGTTTCCACATGCACATTAACACCACTGACCCTATTTTCAGGTGCAACACCAGGAGCCGGTGTATTAAAGTCTGTTTTGCTGATTGTCTCCATGGATGGTCTGATGTGTGTTGCTGTGTATTATGGGATGGAATAGTCTTTCTATTCTTTCCTCCCATAAAGATTGGTCCCAGTGTTTCCTCCCATAAAGGAGGTAATAAAGAAGCACTGAAACACATTTCTGTGGCATACAGAGAATCCGACCAGCTTCCAGTTCCTCTTCCTTTAATCACATGCTTTAATGGAGACTTCTGATTGGCTGTCCCCAGCCAATATAATATTTTTAACAGCAGGTGGGATGAGACCAATATTAGAGTCATCTCTCAGCAGCCAATAGGAGCCAGTAGAATAAACAACTGCTTGAAGCTTTAGCCTCCCAGACATGACTTGTATATATGCTGACCTCATATTTAATATTTGAGATGCACTTCATGCAGAAATACTGAGAGCTATTCACCCATTCTGTGAAGATAAGAGAGTCTGCTTTTAAATGGATCATTCAATGACCATCGCTGTGCTGTGAGAGTGTCCACCACTGTAACACTGGAATATTGTATTGCAGAAAACAGGAAAACAGTGAAAAGCAAAGTGAATCCATTATGAAGAAACGCTGACATTCAGTTTCCTCTCTGTGTGAGGTTATTTGATTAAATTTTCATTTGACACTACACAATGTGTCGGCTCTTTTACAGCATTACTATAAATTCTGTTCCAAGTACTACAAATTGGTACTGATGAATAATTTGCTGTTGATGCCAAATAATTCAGTTTAATGAATATTGTGGTTGACACTAGGAAAAGGTTCTGGTGTCAGTTACCATTTGTTCCCTGTTTGTGCGCAACAACATGACATTTATTTCCCATGACACCTAACATATTGTGCAAGATGCATGTAAATCTGCATCCTTGGCTTTTTCGTCCTCCAGGGCAATGTGACCTTCTCGTGTTCGCAGCCCCAGCTGGTGGCTTGCACCTTTGTGAGCTCCAGCAGCAGCTTCCTGTCGCTCCCATCAGCATCGCCTGCTGTGGGGGGTTTCTTCATTCGCTTCCAGTTCAGGACGTGGAACCCGGAGGGGTTGCTGCTCTCCGTCCAACTCAACCCAGATCCACAGCAACTGAGGCTGCAGATCAGCAACAGCTGGCTACGCCTGACCCTCCACAGCTCGGGACGACAGAAATCAGAGGTCTCAGCCGGTGAGTCCACACAACAGACTAATGTGTCCCTGAGTCTACTGTGCACTCCTGATAGTACAAAATCAGACATTTCCTGTTTGACTCGAAATAGACTTAATCGTCCCCACAGATCCATGTCTGCACTAGATCTGAGATAGAAAAGGTTCAGTGGCATACACCACTTAGCCACACCATGAAACCACTGACAGCTGAAGTGATTAACATGTATTAAGTCGTTATAGTGGAATGTGCCGCCAGAGACAAACTCACCTAAAGATTGGTGCATGCCAGTTACACAGCTGGCCTGCAGGATAATGCAGCTGCATGCTGCAAACCAGCTCAGGAGCAGCTCAAGAAACATGAAATATAGTCACAGAAATGACCCTCATGTAATGATCAGGACCCAAAGTCCAAGCAGGAGGAACTGGAGGACACCAGGAGAGGCCCTGTGTCCAAGCCCAGTGGGTCATTTTTGTTAGAGCGATGCAGAAACCTGTAGAGATGAAAAATGAAGCTAACGTTCACAGCTGTGCTCCTGTGCACACTCGGCCCCTTTTAATACACGTAACATGACCTGGAGGATGGAACAGCGCATGTTCGTACACTTTTAGTATTTGATTAACTTGTTAATTTGAAAATATGTATGTGTTTTAGTCATTTTTCTTCACAGTGTGCGGTTGTAGCAGTGTGACACATTAGATCAAGTTAATGTTGTTTTATTCTACTTGTGAGTCTACTAAGAAGCTACTACTAGCTTAGCAAAAGGACTAGATGAATTAGTCTAGCATGAACACAGACTGGCACAGGGTTTGGTCAGTTTCAGCTTCTGAATCACATTTTGATTCACAGCATCATCGGCGAACGCCAGCCTCCAAAAGCCTGTTTGCACTGCTGAGTCCTCCAAGGTGCTTGTTTTGTGCTCAGCAACCAATTTAATCTGTCTGACTTGTATCACCTTCATCCTGAAGAAAGTCGAAAATATTATGGCTTTTTCTTTTTTT